GAAATGGCTTTGTTAGGATTTCTTTTGTTATATCAATGAATCTCTTTTGTTATGAGAATTTCTTTTGATGGTTTTGTTAGGATTAGGATGCTCACTAATGGGGACACGTGTATGTATTTCCTTTTCCTAAATGTATTTAGTTTTAGCATTGAATGAAATTTTTTGTTGTTAGGATTTTGATGGCTTTGTTAGGATTAGGATGCTCACTGATGGAGACGCGTGTATTTCCTTTTCCCTAAATGTATTTAGTTTCAGCGTTGAATGAAATTTTATGTTTTAGTTGTTTTTTCTCTCCTTTATAACCTGTCAACTGTTATCTCCTTTACCTATCCATTATGCTCCTTCAATTTCATCCTAGATGACCACCGTTCCTGACAATTCGGTCTGGGCTCCATCGTTTAGGGTAGAAGATGGTGCAGGTGCTATTTGGGTGTGGAGCTGCTCAAATCCTCCAATGAAGGAGGTGAATCCATCCTCAAATCCTTGTGGCATCACTCAGATGCAATTATGTGCTGCTCTCTGAAGTCTGAAAGTGAGCATATTACACTTACGAACCCCAAATACAACACTTTGCTTTCTTGTCGTACTTACTTATTTTAAATGAGTTAAGGTTTGGTTTGAAAATAGAAGGTATGGTTGGTAGCTAATCTTTGTACTTTTAGGTTTTCTGCTTTGTTTTGTTGTGTTCTAGTTGCTCCGATTGTTTTTTTTTCAAATCCAACGATTTTGGGCATAAAAAATGTGAAAAAAAATTTGAAAAAAATTATTTAAAAAATTACCAAAAAATTCTGGTATTTTTATGTATAAATACCCACCAATGTTGATCACTTTCAACACCAAATCCTTATACATTTTATTCTCCTTCTATTATTTTTCACTTTCTACCCAAACTTTTCTTCACTTCCAATTTTCATTTTTATTCACCATCTTATGGCATCTTCTATTGAAGCCGGAGGGACGTGGTCAACCATGGAAGATGTTCTGTTGTGTGAGTCTTGGGTCCAAATTGGTCATTGTCCGGTCACGGGCAATGAGATGAAATTTTGTCATATGTGGAAAAAAATTCATGCGGTATTTTGTGAAAGATCGGGTTCGACTCGTACGGAAATAGCCTTGGTTAGTAAGTGGAAAATTTTGAATAAAAATTTGGGCAAATGGAGAGATGCATTGTCAAAAGCGAGGGACAACCATCGAAGCGGCCAAAATCTTGGCGATGAGATAAATTATTTGTAATTTTCGTTGTTTTCCCTTTTTTTAATTGTTATAATAAAATATGAATTAACATGTGAATTATTATGCACAGAGTAGACAATGTAAATTAAATTAAATTAAATTTTCATATTATATACACACAGAGCACTTTGATACGTTGTCCAAAACCACAAGTGGTGAAACTAGCGGCGTAAAAGATCCAAACCACTACAAAAATATGGGGGAAATAATTCATGTCCCCACAGCCTGCCTACTCTCGAGCCTGGTCTGGCATCATCTAGCTCACAATTATGCTAAGCTAATTCTATATTTATATATATAATAACAAATATATGATGTCTGCACAATAATAACATTTCGACATTAGAAGAATTGATATTGATGACTTTGTGATATTGTAAGGTAAGCATGGGCTGGCTTTGTTCCACGTCAAGCCAAAATCAAGACCAAATTAATCAACTTATTAGTTCCTTTTAAAATTTGATAATCAAACCAAGTCAAGCACTTGTCCATTGGGAGGACACTTCAACTGCACAGTTGATTTGGTCCGACAAATTTTTTATTTTTTAATTTTTATAAGTAGGATATCACAATTCTGGATATAATTAAATAGTTTTTCTTTTCTTTTTTTCACAAAACAATCCTGGGCCAAATAAACACTAGACCCAAGAAAAAGCAAAGCCCAAATCAAACGTCATGTATATTGTCAAGGATAAAAGGAAGTTCATCTTCAAGGCTGAAATCCCAAAAAGCACTGAGATTATCACAATTCAGTATTTGCAAATAATGATAAAATAATAGATATGAACTTACTCAAGTTAGCTAAAGCGGATGTGCTTCTCACTCTATACCCGAGTTCGAATCCCTCTCCCCGTAGTTTAGATCATATTAAAATAAAATATTATTTGTAAAAAAAAACTTGATAATTATAAAATATCCTTCAACAAATACATCGACATTAATTTTTAATTAAAAGTAGGTTTCCAGTTTCTTTTGTAGCATAAGTCATCCCTCCTAATTTCTTAATTTGCCCAAGTTTAAGCCCATATAAATGTTGTGAAGTTGTGGATGCGATTTCCCAGCCCATAGAAAGCAACGAAGTCTCCGTGTTGCTTTGGTTTGACTACACTTACACTAAAAGCTCGTACACCAAGTTGGACCTAAATCTTTGTCAATATGCGCTGCACGTGAAGTGGAGGTGAACCTTTGTAACTCAAAACCTATGCACTCTGAAATATCCATATTTGTATTGAAGCTAGGTTTTCTAATCGACGGGCATGAGAGATTCAAACTCGAGACATTTTTCAATATTGTAAACAGAAATATCACTAATTTAATAGTTAGTTGGTATGTTCAAGCTAGCTTAACTAAACTAAACTAAAACTAGAGTTTTAGGTACTTACCACGTGTTTCTCATGAGCAACATTATATCCCATGGTGCAAATGAAAACGACCTGCATTTGGTTTCTGCTGACTATATACTGAGACAAGGCAAGAGGACATCGTTGGAAGCATGCACACGTAGAAGCAAGAGTGGGTTTGTTCACTATGGGGGATCATAGATGGATACTATTTGTCTCATTTCATGTAAAGAGATACTTCTCATTCTGACGAATTACAAATTAACACATATGCAAAAATAATTTATCAAAAACACAAAAAGAAAATCTTTTGCACATATATCACGCTACTATTGGCATGAATGTATGAGCTCTTACTTACATGATAAGAACGGAAGTATTTTCTTATAGATATAGTGTCGAAATTATGTTGACATATTGTTGGAAAATCAAAATGTATGGGGCCCATCGCTATGATGAAATCTATAGGTGACTATGTACCACAGATCCACAGTACACATTGGCATTATTATTTTAACGTGGACCCATCACACTCACAATCATCTTCATATCTTATTACAATATTCCGTGCTTGGTTGCGAGTGTAAAATGCCAACACTCTAATACATGCAAGTTATTTTCGCTAAATTACCCTTCCCTATAATTTGATTGATTTTATATTTTTGATATTTCGTTAATTCAATTTTGACAGTTTTAGTTATGTAATTTTGTTTAGGTAGTTATATCAATGCATATTAGGGTTATTGTTAAGAGGAACAGAGCATACGGAAGATTTAGTACACATCAATTACATAAATAGAAGAGTTGTAATTCAAATAGTCGCCTACACATGTGCAAGTCATTTCGCATATCTTAACGATCAGGAATTATCCGTGCACATAGTTGTCGATTATAATATATTATTCAATCACTTTTCTAGAATGAGTACCCCATTTTACTTGTTATTTTGCTAAATCAAGTTCACCCTTGAGCTGTAAAAAGTAAAATCTATCAAGATGATTCATACTGTCATTTTACTTATGCATATGTATACTTTTTCGTGAACCAGTCAAGTTAAAGTGCCTACTTGGAGCTCGTCGAAAGTTTCAACAAAAAGAGACTAGTAAAATATATTAATCCAATTGAACTATTAAACTCATGTGCTGCTCAAATGAAATCTCACCCTTTCCAGTCACCAAGAGCCATAATTTAAGGTTTAAAGATTAAACACAAAAAGTTTATAATGTCGACATAATACCTGCTCCATAAGGAACGCTTTATTCACATCAAGCTCAAATTTCAGAAAAATCAATAATATGTATTCACACACGCATGTATTATGGGGTTTGAACTGAGAACCATTTGGGAGGATGTCAATATATGAGCCAATCAAACTAACACTCGATTAGTATATTAATAATTAGCTGAAAGGACAGTGAATGTATTATATATGGAATATGATCATAATTCTTAATTTCTTGACCTTAGCCAGAAAGAATAAAAATGGTTCAAACACTCGAATAATTCCAATGTCCCATTTTAGAGTGGGACTTCTTCAAACCCAAAAGCTGCTCTATTATATACCTAATAGGTTAATATATATCACCATAATCCAAATCAAACTAATTAAAGTATAAAACCCCACTCATATATATCTCACTACCTGCTGCACTCTCATCCTTCCCGCCCACAAACAGGCAGCTAATCCCCAACAAAGGGGCCCCCAACCCTCTCTCTCATGTACTGTAAGTTCAAGGCCTGGTTTGGAAATATCGCATTCATTGTATCCAATATGGTGCTCCACGTATTAAGTTGTACTAATGTCCAAATTCATGTTTGGTGAACTTCAAATACTTCGATTAAACTTATTAAATTGAACGATAGTTCAACATATTATATTTTACAAGTCTCATATAAAGGGGTTGCACTTAACTTCAATTCAGTTAGAACTCATTGTCCTTAAGATGTTAGACATGAAGTTGTCCGATTTAGTAATCCATCACGATCACTGTTATACGCGCTCACCGAACATAAGAGCATGATCCTTATTAAGTTCACCAAACATAAGACATGATTTATTTTTTCCATTTAAATAAAAACTTATCTCCTATGAACACCAAAAAATTTGAACTTATCTTGTCTAGTCACACCTTCCAAATGTTAGAAGAGTGAAGCCCAAGACTCATTCAACCACGTGATAGTCTCGTGGGTGACGAGTCCTTACCCTACGAAAACCATAAGGCAATGAGTGCGAGAGAGTTTTCAAGCGGTCAAGAACCCCGCGTCACACACATATACTGGAATAAACCACAGCAGGTGCCACTGGATATGCTGCCACCTGTACAGTCCGACTCGGATATCCTCTTCCAATAAACAGTTTATTTTCCCCAAAACCCACTTTTCAAATTAAAAACCGAATATTCGCATTTAAATTCCTCCAAAACCTTCCCCTTATATATAAAGCACCTCACATATTCCATTTTCCTCCAAGTTTCTCCACACTAGTAAAAGCTCATCACCAAAAGCTGCTTCATCAATGGCGGGTTTTGTAAGGACCAGAACAAAGAGAGTCACTTACCCTCTCGACGACAAGGTCAGGGCACGCCTCGTCGGCGGCTACAGCTCCGAGCTCAGCATCTACGACGTCAGCAGCGGAAGCGAGCATTCCGGCGACGGCGACTCGCCCTGCCTCTCCGAGCTCGTCCACGATTTCCTCCAGGACGACTCGTCCGAGACTCGGTTTCCGGACAACGAGACTGACTCGGACCGAGTCGACTCGGCCTCCGACGCGAACGCGATGGACTCTATTCTCAAATCCGCGGCTGTTAGCAGAAATGCGGACTCGTTTGCGAAGCTGCTCCGCTCTCACGTTTCCGAGGCGGTGGAGGCGTTTTCGTGCCTGAGATCCGGCAACAAGTCCGCCCTGCGACGGAGCGTGATGTCGTTTTTGAGAGCCCGGGGGCACAATGCGGCGATCTGCAAGACCAATTGGAGCTCTTCCAGCAACATCGCCGCCGGTAGCTACGAGTTCATCGACGTGGTTTGCGCCCAATCGAGCTCCTCCGTGTGGCAGAGCCGGTACTTCGTGGACCTCGACTTCGCCGCCGTGTTCGAAATCGCTCGGCCAACTAGCCAGTATTCGCGGCTGTTGCAGTTGCTGCCGAGAGACTTCATCGGCACCTCGGAGGACCTGAAGCGAATCGTCCGAGTCATGAGCGACGCCGTCAAGAGGTCGCTGAGAAGCAGAGAGCTCTCCGTGCCTCCGTGGAGGAAAAACCGTTACATGCAGAACAAGTGGTTCGGTCCGTACAAACGGACAGTTAATCCGTTGACGGAGAAATCGTTTTCAATATCCTCCACCGTTTTCGCTCCGGTATCTGTTGCGAAATGCCGTTGGGTTGGATTCGACGACGCCGCTTCTGACTCCAGCGTCAACGGCCGTCTATACGTCCGTACTTAGATGATTAGTAATAATTAGATAAATTAATCGGTTAATCAAAAAATAATGATGGTTAAATTTTAATTTTTTTTGGTTTTTTGTGGTGTAACGCGGAAAATGCACATCGTGTACGCGCACACCTTAGCTGCACGTCACTTGAATATAGAAACATCGTAGTTCCAACAAATCTGGGCTGTTGGTTTGTTTTGTTGGGCGTAAGCCTATAAATCGAACGGTTTTGAGATGGGGTCTCAGTGTAACGTGTGCAGATCAGAGTGGGTGATTACTTCGGTGTGAAGTTTTATCCTGAAAGGATTTTTGATGCGATGAGGATGACAGGTGGCACCGTTTGATGAAGTCGCTTTCGCGCGCGGTGATGTGACGGGTGATGATAACATTTGGAAATTGTTGGGACAGTTGGCCTGTAATGAAAGCGTGGTTGTGTGTGGCTGGTGCAACAAATTTATGTATGATATTTGTAAACGTGGAGGAACAAGATAAGAAGGAAGAGACAATAATTTGGAATTTTGGATAAGGTTTTTGTTGTTGGTCTGCCTTTTTCTTGTTTTTAAATTCATTTTTGGAAAGTGATTAGATAAGGCAAAACTATTTCTCACTCCTCTGCGGAGAGAAACACTTCTATAGAATGGGGATATCACATTGTTTTTATTATTTTATATTTTATTTTCATTACTCAATTTTTTATTTGTTATCCCAACTTTTTTTTTTGTCTTAAAAAAATGCAATAGAGGATTGAAGCGGGCTCGGGCTCGGGCCGTGCTTGAAGCGGGCTCGGGCTCGTGCCGTGCTTGAAGCGGGCTCGGGCCAAGTCCATTTAATTTCGGGCCACGGGCCGGCCCGGTCCATTGGACCTTTTTTTAAATCCCAGCCCGGTCCAAGCTAACTTTAAGTCCTTATTATTATTGACATGGAGAGTTATAAATATGTCCATAAAAATTTCGTTGCCGGCAGTTGAACCCTAATTGTTAACAATCTAATTTGTATATGCTACAAGGAATGCGATAGCGAGGCCTTGTGAACTTGGATTCCACTTTCTCAATTGAATTAAGTTCACATGAACTTTGAAAACAACGGCTGGCCAAAATATTTCATCAGTTCAACTTACCTTCATGTCATTCTCCAAGTTTCAATCTGCGTGTAATTCATGTGAATATAATTTTTTTAAAAACATAAAATAATTATATTCGCAGGATCTCGTGATGGTGTGTAAATCCATATAAAACAATATCCAACAATATGCTTGACTAAGTAATTGATAATATATTAAGAAAAATTCAAAAGTTGGCATTTTTTTTGTTCCTCCGAACGAAGTGCGACGGCATCTAAAGGTTCATCACTCGGTGGTATGGCCCACCACCACCCACCATCGCCATTCTTTTTCCTCTTTTTATTTTTATTTTTATTAATTTTTGTCGCTATGTCAAAATTCCCTTCAGGCATCGGTAACACAAATGTGTTCCGGAAGACAGAGGCCTCAGCCATCAGTAGAAGAAGAAGATCATAAGAAAACAGCACAGCAGCAACAACATGAATGGTCAGTTTGAAGGCGCAGCTAACGCCAATTACAACAACAGCAGCAGCAGCAACAACAATCCTTATGTCCAATATTCCCCTGTTCCCATGACGAATTCTGCTACCAAGCGTTAGTATTTTCTGTTGAATATTTTGTTTCTATGCTCGTGATCATTGCTTAACCTCAATTTAAGCGAAACCAAATATCTTATAGGAAAATATATGTTCTAGTTTTTTACATGATCATTACTTGATGGTACAGGTCCGATGGATAATATGCTCGACTCACTGAGTCAGTGCGGTAAAAGGGTTGAAGTTGCAACCAAAAGAGCCGAGGCCATTGCAGACAGTGTTTGGCACCACCGTAAGTTTCTCTCCTTCAAAAATCCCAAGTTTTTTCCCATGCAGAGGAACTCAGTTGTTATGTTACATATTTATTTTGACCAGGATCAGTTAAGATTGTTTTAGTACCTGGCTTTGTATTAATTAACTTTAATTAATCTGTGTCTAAGTTTTGGAATTTTATTTTGAACAGTTAGAATGAGTCCTAGTTTGACAGAAGCAGCCATGGCAAGGCTCAATCAAGGGACAAAGGTGCTTACAGGAGGAGGGAAAGATAAAGTGTTCCAGCAAGAATTTGAGAACCTGGCAGGAGAGAAGCTCTTGCATTCATATGCTTGCTATCTGTCAACTTCTCATGGACCTGTAATTGGGATGCTCTACATCTCCAACAAAAGACTAGCCTTTTGCAGTGATTTCTGCCACTATTTGTCCCCAGGGAATCCAAATTTCATGCACTACAAGGTAAGATTCAAGACTTTGTGGAATTGAAGAAAGAATTGATTGAATGAAACCTTTTTTTTTTCCCTTTCTTTTTCACACAAGCGATATTGGGGAGGGGGGAAAATCAAACCTAGGACCTCGAGTGCAGGGTAAATGCTCTTTACTTGAGCTACAAGTCCCTTGCCAGTGAAAGCTTTTTTAAATTGCTTGAATGTGCAGGTGGTGGTGCAGCTTGATCAATTAAGAACAGTCAATCCATCAGCAAACAGATGGAAGCCTTCAGAGAAATATATACACATTGTCACGAGGGATGGTTATGAATTCTGGTTCATGGGGTTCATATCCTATGACAAGGCCCTCAAGAATCTAAGCCAAGCTCTACAGATCTCTCAGAATTAGCTGAAGGAAACAGCTAAATAACTGGAGTTAATAATTCAGACAGATTGGAATTTGGATTGTAAAAGTAATACCCCTTAAATTTTAATTACACTTTCCGTTAATCTGTTTTTGCACATCTGCCATACTTCTACATCTGTTTATGGAAGCCCTAACATTCACCTTCGTTTGGGAAGCATGCATTTTTCTTTTTGATAACATCAAAACCCATTTAAAACAAGCACAGCAGAGCCCTAAATAAAAAGGGTACGGCGTCCATTTGGTTTATAATCAATCAAACACTTTTACTTGCTGTAAGCTAGCAATTCAACTAGATTAATATTTAAAAAGTAAATATTGTTAAAATCTATTACTATTTGAAGGGTAAAGCCGAGCGGCTATAATTTTAAAATATATTAATATTTAACGAGTATAGCCGTCAGCTATACTTTTAAAATATATTAGTATTTAAAGAGTATCGCCGCGCGGCTATACCTTTTAAATATATTAATATTTAAACACTACAGACGCAGGGCTATACTTGTTAAATATATTCGAATATTTTAATACTATTGCCGCGCGGCTATACTTTTAAAATATATTATTAATATATAAAGAGTAAGGCCACACCGCTATACCTGTTAAACATATTTGGATATTTTAAACGTATAGCCGCGCGGCGATACCTTTAAAATATATTAATATATAAAGCGTATAGCCATTCGGCTATACCATTAAAATATATTAATATATGAAGAGTATAGCCGCTGGCTATACTGGTTAAATATATTCGAATATTTTAAACGTATAGCCGAGCGGCTATACCGCACAAAATTGTTTTTAGTTATAGCCTTTTGTTACTTTAATTAGTAATTATGTTTTAATTATTCTTTCTTTAGTATTTAAATATTTTATTAATTTAATAAATTACTTAATTAATAGTAATTAATTATTTTAAATTATTTTATGGAATTTTTTATTATACTAAATTAGTTTTTTAGTTTAATATTTGCAATTAAGTAATATCTTAGCCTTATTTAATTATATTATTTATTATTTATTTAATGAATAATTAGTATTTAAGTATTTGAATTAATTTTAGAGGGTTAATCATTTTATTAGTCCCTAAACTTAGTCCCGATTTGCATTTAAGTCCCTTAATTTCCAAAATCGTTCCCGTGGTCCTTTAACTTCACTTTCGTTAGGCCAAAATAGTCTTGTCCGTCAATTTTGTTAATTTTTTATGTTAAATGTAGGGGCAAAATAGTATTTTTATATTAAAATAAAAAATCATATCTCTAAAATAACAATAAAAGAAAATCAAATAAAAAACCTACCAAATAAATAAATAAATAAAGTTTGGGGGGAGTAGAAATCGGGATAGAGGGGGAGAGAGTGTGTTTAATTTTTATTTTTTATTCATATTTTAATCAAGTGCAATGAGAAAAAGGTTGTCATTGGGTTTAGTTAGTAATTATGATTGATACATTTTAGAAAGTAAATTCTTAGACAAGCAATTTTATACTATGAAATTCAAGATTCTTTTATCCCCAAAATGTTGGTGTATCCCTATTTTTTGTTGTTGTATTTATGGGTTTAACCTGTATTATTTCTCATAAATAAAATACATTTTTTATTCTTGCCTAATGGGCTAGTAGTTGGAAATCATTAGAATGGGAGGTATCGGAAAGAATTTAAATTCTCATTCCCCAATATCACTGGTATAAATAAAATAATTGAATAAATAACTCTATCCTAATTAGCTAAAGTGGTATTTTAGCCCAATAACATGACAAAATTGTATATTTAAAGAGTATAGCCGGGCGGCTATACTGGTTAAATATATTATTTTAAAGGTATAGTCGTGCGGCTATACTCTTTGAATATATTCGAATATTTTAACTGTATAGCCGCTCGGCTATACGCTTTAAATATATTCGAAACGAACACAAAGCTTGCACTGGCCGTCACAGCCATAAGCGCTTCCAAGCTTCAAAGACTCGGTCTTGAGCCTCTCTCTCTCTCTCTCTCTCTCTCTCTCTCTCAACTCAAGCTTCAAAATTTTTTCTTTCGTTTCGGCTGCTGCGTTGATTTGATTGGATTGGATTGGACTCTCTCTATGAAAACCATCAAATGTCATTCAGCTTTTCTGTTTTACCTCAATAAGCATGAGTCTTTCCTCAAAAACACATTAGGAAAAGAGAATATAAAAAGATCATTTTCTTACTCTATTTACTGATTAGGCATATGTATTAAATTATAGGTATTAGTTTGTACCAGCACATTGGCATGCGGTGTAAACCTTCCAGGTCATCGTCTGGTCATTATTCAGGTAAGGCAAAATTTGTGCAGTATCTTTTCATTTGGTTCCTATATCTACAAAGGTTTCTAGTAGGAGTATATTGCAGCAGCTGTTCTTCAGGACAAATTTACGTAAGTGTTGATTCTCTTGCAGGGAACAGAATATTATAATGGGAAAACAAAGACATATGTTGATTTTCCAATATCAATCACAGATATATTGCAAATGATGGTTTTGGTCACACATGACTATATAGAAAAAAAAAACATGGAAAGAAAGAAATATGTGAATCAGATTACATGCTTTTCCCCCTTTATAATCAAAAGTTGCTCAGATTCTACAAGAAAGATGGGAGCAGATGTCTATCACAATCTGCCGGCACCTAACAAATCGTATTACTTTCTGAATATTTGCCTCAAATACTAGGGATGAGGTTGTTTGGGGTTTTGAATATCAGAAAATCTAATAAAGTCAATGGATGAAGTCTTGCAGTCCTATATCTAATCAAAAAACCATTTTCCATTTTATTTTTTCAATACTCT